CTGATCGTCTTGATTCAGTCTTGACAATGGGTATAGGCAGGCGAGGGAAGAGAGAGTGCAGTACATACAATGCAACTAAACTATCGCTTTAATCTAATCCACGCGTAAGTCGCCGTCCCTGCATCACCATGCTGGGGAGCCTGGTGTCTATATATAACTTTGGAATCGACAGTCCAACTATCATGTATTTGTGTATGTGCTACATGTGTAGCAATAATGTTCTGTGATGCGGTCCGCCATGCGCTGTCAACCGATGTTTTAAACCTTATCCTAGTCCATAATCCAGGTGCAGACACCAAAACTGCGGCCACACTGACATCAATTAAGTTCATTTAACTACTCTGTATATGTAAACAACTTATTGCGCTCGTAATTTGGTCCCTTCAAATTAAAGTGCTTCGACTCCTCTGTTCGATGTAGATCTGTCAACAAGCGGCCAAAAACATCAAGTCCAGATGTGCACTGAACACGAAACAACCAAACCTCAGGAAACACAACAGCATTCCTTCCAAATCCTCTCTGACAATGGTCAACCCCTATATCCCCGACTGCGCAGGTCTCAATTTAAATCCATCACAGCAACCTTTTCTAAACGGGCACAGGGTAAAGCTCCCAACTCCGTCAGCCTTCAGTTTACCTTCTCCGTTCAGCACTCGTGATCCGGCTTCTGGTAGATCAGAATTTAAAACACCATCTCTGCTGCAGGCTGTGTGCACGGTGAGACCGCATAACGCCTTCATAGAACACGTTGATTCCGACTACTTGGGTCTCCGATCTCTGATACTTCAAATTGGGGCTCATTATATCTTGCAAGTTCTAAATCTACCGATTTCTATGACTTCACAAGAATTTCAAGTCTATATGGGTCCGACAAATTGTTCAAAAATCATCCAAGTTGTGAGAACGGTAAGTACTGTTGAAGGCTGTTTGGGTATAGTCAAACAGGGGTTATTGTGCTATATTCGTGCCCGCTTATTTCATGTTATTTTTCATATTATTTGCGGTTCCGAAATTAAGAATATAATGACACTTTATAACTGTGACAGACTTTGTCCGAACACTGCAGCACGCGACATAGGTAATTAATTTATACTTGAAATAAAGAAATATATAGCCTAGAGTTTAGATGTTAGTGGACTACAATATATTATACTTGGTTGTACCGGAATACCCTACTCTTCTATCTATGTCCATCCCATCTATGTTATCATGTAAATATGCATGTAGTAATGTTAATTTTAATATACTTTAATTTAGTGCAAACATAAATTATTTAAACGGAGAGTATATGAAAATTGTTTTGATAGCCAGTGCACTAGCTGGAAGTGAGTATTCTTATTTGAATTATAAGGAAAACATAAACCGTGTATTTGAACAGACAGTAACCAACAAACGCAATATATGTACTAGAATTCCGATTTCATAGTCAGGAGTATTTAAATAAACAAAGTATATATCTAACACCAACTGGGTCGAGAATCGCCATTGTATTATATTATCATGTGCCATTAGCATTATCTTGATTACAAGAACAGATATTGCTTTGCAAGTATAAAGGTGGCAAGAGTTGGTCAATTGTTTCACCACAATAGTTCAGTATATTTTAGTATACTAACGGTGGTGGGCAAAGCAGTCAATTTAAAAGGACATGTTGCTATAAAATACAGAGTAACCCATTAACATAGATAAAGTATTTTGTAATTCTGATTAAATCACAGTCAACGTGAATAATAAAATCTAAAATATGCAAAATAATAGATAATAGGGCTGTAGTTAAGTAGCAGCATCGTGCCCGCCATTTTCACGTCCTCGGAAAGTCCGTTCGAGGCGCTGAAAATTCAATGGGAAAACAAGTGGCGACACACATCCACATGGGATGAGGTTCCTTAGGGTTTGAGGAAATTTTTGCACAGATTAGTTGTTTTGACCGATGAGAAGAAATTCTCGAAATGCGGGGCGCAGCCACGGGTCCTGACCATCCGGTATGTCTGTGCGGAACTTCTCGGATTTGCGGGTACTGAATGGGAAATACACTTAGTACATCAGGTCTGTATTATTTGCATAAAGTAGTAGTAGAATAAAACTACCATTTGTTGGATCATTCAGTTAGGCAGTCAAGTCATTTCTGCAGGGTGTTTTCATTATTCTTCTATCTGATCAATGGGAATACTTGCACCTCATTTGCAAACATGACTCCGATGCAATCCAGTCCTTTCGTGCAATTATTGAATTTAATTAAAAACAGCAATCGTCTAAGCACATAACCCCGATGTATTCGACAAAAACTTGCATAAGCATTGAGATCGCATTGCCAATTCCCACTGACTGCGACCGACCGATAAAGAAGTCCTCTATCCGATAGAACAGGTTTCCTTTTATATCGCACACGGGAGGCTTTTAAAGTAGCTGACGGTGTTCAACACCAGTATAGGGTTTTTTGAACTAAATAAACGCGACATCGAAATTGCTGTTTTTACCTAACGAACGCGATCGCTGCTAGAGAGGGAAGATAATAATGGTTTGACATGAGGAGTTTGGCCGAAAGCCGTGTGTTGGACTCTGAAGGAAATCGTTTTCTTAGAGAAATGTCATTGCAGCTCTGATGTTTCTTCTTCCCATTACCTTGCAAAAATGTATATTAGGCTCTATAGTTGTTAGTGTTTTTCCTGGATCCAGATTTCTGGATGGGATATTCACTTGCTAAATTGCAATCAGAGGGGACATAGTCTCGACCAGGTGACGCCTAGTAAATCAGCGAAAGCGCGCAGGAGAGTCCGCAACCCAGCTGCGTTGAAGCTTTTGTTGGTATTTGGTCCGAACCTGGATACTTACCTGTTTAAAGCACATGAAGTTCCTTCCTCAGACGCTCTGTGCTGAAATAAATGCTTCATATGACTGCGTCTTTGGTAACACTTCGAAAGCCAACCTCGTTAATATCAGTTTTTTTGGTAGGAGCGGATGTAGGGAACGACTGAGGTGTTTTGTCTTATCATCATTTTCGTTTTATGCTCTGTTAAAACTGCGACAATCCCCTTGTTCTGTTGCTAAAGCTGAAAAGTACGGTCGGCTGATCTACGGCTATTTCTAAAATTGGCACTTTGTAAGCTTTCCGCAGTCTGCGCATATTTGCTCTTAACTCGTGCCGCTTTCGATGAAAATGTTTTATATTATTACAGTTTTTTGCGTCATCCTTCCCCAAAACGATGTCTTTCTATGCAATCATCTTCAAATCTTGCGTTAAACAGGCAGAATGCTTTGATTTTTAATTTATTTTTAAGGCAGTTGGGATAACAACATTCCGGTCGATATCCGGATCCTCGTTTAAGACTTCCTATCAGTTGAGTAGAGATAGTTCACTTCTCGTCGTCTCAAGATTCCGGGCCATACGTTTATCTAAACATACCTCGCAGAGTAGCATCGTATTATCATTGTTAACAAGAGGTGCTGAAGACCTAAGTTAGCCAGTTTTAATATATTCTTTTAAAAACTGAGGTGCAGATAATTTGTTCTTTGAGGTTCATTGCCTCTGATTGGAAATAGTACATCACGTACAAAAATTTATTTGTCGTAAAATTTTAAAAGTCTGGAATCTGAGGAATTGCGCTAGACG